CTGGGCTGGGAGGAAGGCCCCCTGCCAGCTGGAATCGGGGCTCTCCCGGGGCCTCCACCTCCCCCGGGCCTGTGGCTGTGGCCGTGGCGCTGCTGAGCGCTCTTCTGGGGCTGAGCAGCTGGGGATCCTGGCCTTTGTGAGATGTGAGTGGGGGCTCCGGGCACCCACACCTGCGCCTCTGCTGTCTGGTCTGAAGGCTCCCCGCCCCGGGTCCGCACACCTAGGGTCGCCTCCGTAAAAGCAGTAGGCCAACGTGCCCGCTGGCCCGCGCCTGGTCAATCACATCTTGTGAGTGGGCTGGGAGGTGGTCAAGATGTGCCTGTGCGTGCAAATCCGTGTGGTTCCTTGTGCCTCCAGCGTTTGCACTCATGTGTGTGCCCGAGGGGCCTGTATGCATTATGTATCTGCTGTCTGTGCTGGCATAAGGGTGTCTCCCAGCGAAGCGGCTGGGGGAGCCGGGGCTGGTGCTGGGGTGGCTCAGGAGGGAGTCATCTTTGGACTTGGGTGACACTCACCACTTCTTGGGTACCACCAGGGCCCTTGGTCTGACCACCTCCTGCAGTCTCCCCCACCACCAAGACCAGTCCCCTCCCCAATGCTGGGCATTCCCGCTGTCCTTCATATCCCCCTCAAACTTAGCTGCCCGAGCTGGGGTGCCTGTCAGCCTCTTTGCTATCTTCTTACCCCAGAAGGCCTCTCTGAGAGTTGAGAACTCTGAGCTTTACACAGAGCCTAAAGGTGACCGCCCCTGCCCCAGTCCCCCAGAACCTCTAAGGTCTGGGGTCTCACATGCCCGTGCGGGAAGCACCCACAGTGGGTGGGGGTGCCCATGGGGACCCACACCTTCAGGTAAGTGGCAGAGTGTGAGCTCCGTTCACTGGCCCACTGGGCTTCGGGTGGTTGCAAGAGTTAGCAGGCATTTGATGGTGAGCCCCTGTGTCCCGGCATGGGGGAAGGTAGCAGGACGTAAAGACCGGATCCTGATGTCAGGGGACCACATTTGGGAAGCCAGACCTACCATCTCAGACGCTGGTCAGGCAAGTGCCAATTCACCGCATACATCGATGGCAATGGGCATTCAAAGAAGGGAAAGTTTGGTGCGCAGGAGTGGAACTAGGGAAGGCTTCCTGGAGGAGGTGGGGCCCATGCTCAGCTTTAAAGGATGAATGTGATCTGGACAGGCAGAGGAGCAGTAGAGGGGTTCTGGGCAAAAGAACAGTGTGGGAGCAGAGGCTTAGAAATGGGAACGAGCGAGGGGTTTTGGACGTTAGTGGACAGACTGGTGAGTCTATGGGGGAAGCCGGGTAGAGATTTGGTAGGAAGGGGATATCTAGGTCCCTTGTTAAGCCAGCGGTAAAGGAAGGTTATCCTGGACCACTCTGGCCTTTCAGGAGATTGACAGTGGGCGCCTGAGTGGACAGTGACAGGCAGGAGCACAACCAGGGTCCTAGGAAATCAGGCTGCAGGCAAAAGGGCTCTCCGGGCAGAACACTCCCTTGGTTCTTCGTCTGACCTCTGAAGGCATTTTGAAGGGGTTGAGGATCCCCGAGTGTAATTCTGGGTCTTTAGGGTGTAACTTCAAATAAGTTGTCCAACAAATCCCCCCCCCCCCCCCCCCC